TGCATTATTTGCCACCCTCCACGATGCATCACGTGTGAGCTTGTGCTCTGCTAGCGCGAGCGTTTACGACGACGAAAGTTAAGCACGAGACGCGCGTACTCGCACATCTTTGTAGACAAACGTGTTGCATATCATTCAGAGAAATGAACCTGATGGATGACACGAAGCACAGTAGTAGGCACTTTTAGCTGTGTTGGGCTTATATTCTACCCCACCCAGATGTAGAGTCCTGACACATTGTATCAAACTGCATATATATCGCGTTTACTTCAAGCGAGTTTTGCCGAGAGACGGTCACCTTGGCTGCAAAACGACGCCTAAGTCAAGTGTACGGGACGCACCTTCACCTTTTACTTACTCGAATTTGTCAGTGGAGTGAGAGACACGTTCTTCTTTCTGCTTCTCACGCGATCGTTCTGCCATGTGATTGGCATGCGGTGTCGTGCACACGAGCAGCGTCCTGCAGGTAGGTCACTTTGATAATGGTACAATCATATCGGTCCTGCTTCAGTGTGTTAATGGCAGCCAAATGCTTCGCGGTGCGCTAAACTTCAAGAATGTGAGGCAGAGTTCTTAGCTGAAGCCATGAATGCGCGAAGGCCTCTTGCTCACCACTGGCGTTTCGCTCACTGCACCAAACTCAGTTGAACGACATTCATCCGTCCACACCGTTGTCTTTCGGCGGTGCTTAGTGAATAAGTTCTCGTAGTCGTTGCCTTCTCACTCGTATCAGTAGACGGCAGAAATAGCTGTGGTGCATATGAAAGCTATACACGATAGCACAACACTAAAGACAAAGCACATAACTGACACAACGCGAAAGTCTATGCGCGTAACGGCGTCGTAACCGAATGAAATCGCTCGTGGCCTCGTAGGTTGAATCCATAAACTCGGGCGGAGCTGATTGCGGATATTCTAATAACACTTGTTGTCAGGTTAGTTTGTGCATTGCATCAGAAAAAATATACCCATCCAATGAAATAACGAACACAGGAAAGAAAGAAGAAGGCAGGGAACTCGCCTTCCTGTCCCCCTTTCTTGTTTCCTAAGTTCATTATTTTACTGGCTGGATATATTTTTCCTCTTTGCGGAAGCCATGAGTCGATGTGCTAAGTAGGGCGAACGCAACCTAGATGACGTTGGGGGTGCCTTGAATGATACCAGCATCCGTTCGAGTGTTGTCATTGAGGCGCCGTACCGTAGCGCTTAGCATACCTAAGCAATTTCTGTTAGAGCTCTTTAGCGTCATAATGCAGTATCCCAATCGTAGGTGGTGGCCCTGTCCCAATAAACAAAGAGTGCCGTTACAGAAAAAAACGTTGCGTCAGATATATAGGGCGCGTCCGAAGTGCACTTTTCATATATGCTGGTAGCCTATATCTTAAGCTCCTGGCAGGTATCGCCATGGGACGAAAGGTTGCGGATTCGAATATAGGTCTCCCAAATGAGCGATGCTTTTTCTTCTAGTTTATTGCTTGGTATTTTGTTCGTGTACGTTTTAACAGCGTCATATCTGTGACGGAAGTACGTCATTGAAGTCTTGGTCGACCCCGGTATAAAACACTTCCGTGTTTAAAAAGGTACACATCTTGCCTTTGAATGATTCAGCTTAGATGAATGAAAATATGACCATCGATTGCTTCCAGAATGCTTTCGATAATGTATGAGTCAGCATTGTTATGGTAAGCCCAAGAATAGGGCAGCTCTTGGAGCTTCATGTACTTTTTTTAAAGGCGTAGCATTACATGTACTTGAGTGTTTCTGTCTGCATATATATTTGTATACCCATCTACGTTTACGTACACCATTATTTCTTCCTTAACTAGGGGTGGACAAAAAGTATTACAGCAGGTTAACATGGGTTCACAAATACGTCAGGGTGATCATTAAACGAATAACGTGAAAACTGCGTCGCGTACATTGTCAAACCCTTTTCTCCAGACACATGTGGCACATATCTCTTTACCACGAACCGCGGTATGCGCTAGAGGTGATTAATAGTTTACATGTATCTATGAACAGTGGAAACAGGCATTGGTAGAGTTCAAATGCGAGAGCCTTAAGAAAAACTCACATTGCTAGCGTTGCCCCGATGAATTCAAATGATAAATATCAAAATATCAGGGTTCCAGCATTGTACATGGCAATAAAGCATTCTACCACAAAGGCACGTCACATGTCAAAATTGCTTCCTGAAAACATTTTTTGCAGGCGTCATCTTGATGAAACATCAATTGTGTTTGCAGTGCTGGCTATCAAATTTCATAAATATTACGTATGTACTCCTATTATTCAGGCATCACGTCGAGTTAACGTTAATTTCATGCTTAGGCATGATCCACTGAAGCTGATCTACGTAGCACTACACAGAGCTAGTGCACCCCGCAAGCACAGGCGCTACTCATCATCTTATCGCTTCTCATGCTGGCGATACCCAAGTTGCTGTTTGCATCGTTACGCCGCCGTAAACAACTTGTTATATTGAACATATGTAGATTTTGAGCATGTCTGTGCGTACGTATACATTTATTTAAAATTTAGGGTCTTTTTGTAACGCTTTGCGCACTAAAACGTTTACGCCGCTGTCACCTTCCCTCCGCACGCTCCGCATAACATCGATTGCCCTGGTACGTAGGATCAGCCGATTCATTTAGGAATGAAACGCCTTAGGCTCGCACGATGTCCGTTGTCGCCTTAGTCATAAGTAGCTGTTGTCCGTCCGTGTAAACCATGCATAAACCGTTCACAGCGCACACAGATCGTACTATGTCTCCGTCCATCTGTCCATTTAACCATCCGTACATCTGTCCATGAGATCGTCCTAGTGTGCGCCCATCCATCAATCTGTCCGCCTGTATGTCCACCTGAATGTGCGTGTGTGCGTCCGTCCATCTGTCCATGTCTCTGTTCGTCCATCCATAGTCCGTGCGCCTGTATACATGTCCGTCTGTCTGTCTAGCCGTTCATGCATTAATCCGTCGTTTGCACTAGTCGGCGACTTCAACGTTGAGATAATGAATCTCAGAACCTAGCTTCAATCCATCATCAGCATTCACTTCGTGGATCTACTGCCTTTTTTTCGCCCTCCTATTAGGTACCGCATTGCTTGCGGGTATCACTTTGCTTCTTTTTGGCGCTTTCGGTGAACGTAATTTGCTTGTGTTGTATTTTGCTGGAGTATACTTTTATTATGTTACAAGAGAACCAAGAAAAAATTCAGCCACTTCTGTGCAATGAATACCACCCTACAGCGAATCTCTCACCCTTACGCCAGGCATTGCATTTACATCCTGAGCTCCACCACGGTAGTCTAGTGTATAAAGTACTCGACTGCTGACTCGCAGGTCACGGGATTGAATCCCGGCTGCGAAGACTGCATTTTCAATGGAGGCGGAAATGCTGTAGGCCCATGTGCTCAATATGGGCGCACGTAAAAACCCCAGGTAGGCGAAATTTCCAGAGCCCACAACTACGGCGTCTCTCATAATCATATGGTGGGTTTCGAACTCTACTCCCCAGATATAATCATCATCAATCAATACAATTAGCTCGTGAGTTTCGGCAAAGTTTTCTCTGAGGATATCTTTCTTCTTCGTTCTTCAGGTTAACCTTTGTGGATACCGCGTGACAAAATGCTTAATAGGGAGTAATAGCTAAGTGGATCAGTGGGCCAGTGAACCAATCGAAGGAGTGGAGGGGGTAGTGTAGCGTGAAACAAAAGGAAGAGTAATACCTGAGTGATGCCACGCTTGTTCTATCGCAATGCTGCCCTGCGCCACCTGTTTAACAAGGCTGAAGATACTGTCAATAAAGTCACAGCCAGGTCCAGATAGATCACAGGCTTTTGTTGAAAACACTTGCACGCTTGTGCGCTGCGCCCGCATCACTGAGCAGACAAAATGAGGGGGTCAGTGGCTCGCTCCGTAAAAACGCTGGTGGCGCCAACGTGATGTGCATGCGCAGTTGACGTCTACGCTCGTTCGCAGGGTCCACTGCCCGCTGAACTACTTAGGTAGTAGAGCATTTTACTTTCACATTTTTACGGCCCGCTCAGCCTCGAATTGGCCCACTTAGCTGCCGTGGAGAGGCGGAAAATTTTCTAGTTTTAGCTATGCGTTTTCTGTTCCAGAGCACAAGGTTCACAGCTTAAGCGCCCTCTGGCCAAATTCAGCGTCGTTAAATAATATGAAAAAGCATATTGTCATGTATACATTGTAAAACATATATGCAACGTTCCCTTGTTCACGAAGAATTCAGACTTGTGCTTGCATTACGCTACCAGTGCATTTAATTGAAATAACTATATATAAGGCGCCCACTTGAGAATAGCCACGCGATAGTCAGCGAGGTTGCATTTCAGAGCCAGTTCAATCAAGTTGAAGGTATCAGTAATAATCTTTCGTCAGCGATGCCATGTTTACTTCGTGTCACTTTTCTTAATTCCGCCACTTAAAGCAAACACAAAGGTCCGTCCATGCCTCATTGCTTTCGTGGCTTAGGCTGCTCAGATGAAAGTGAAGCTACCGTGCACGTTAGAAGCCCATGGGACACTGGAAGCAGCCATCTTGAAATATACGGATAGTCGACGCACGCGGGAGGGAGGGCACGCACGTCGACGCCCCTCGCTCGCGGCCACGGCAACAACGCTCCACGCTCTGCTTTAGCTGCCTGTAAGCGGAGAGTGGGCCTCGCTTTGCTAGCCCGCTTACGTATAAGCGGAGAGCACTTGTGCACTCGCGCCCCCGCTCCGGCTAGCTGCTGATAGGAGCGCAAAAACGCCAAACTAAAACGCTCTATTAGCTAATGAAATGGATCACGAATGATGACGATACCGACCCACGGTCCACAAAGACGCCCCTCTGTACAATGATATCTAGAAAAATGACACCGCAGAAAGGATAAATTAGAAAAGGGGGTGCAGTCATTTTCTGTTGTAACGTCCCACCGACGAGCTGTACATGGTGAGCCTCGAGAGAGGAAACGAAAGCTAACTCACTCACCTGGTACGCTTGGGGGTAGTGTCTGCTCACAGAAGGGCCATTCCAAGGATCTCCCCAATGTAGGCAAGGCTTTCCAGTCTCCGTAACGTTCGCAGAGCCAAAGTATGCCCCGTCAGGATTACGACAACCTGTGACAAATCATTGAATCAACTTTTTGCGTATTTGTTTCAGTAAAATACTTCTCTAGGCAAAACCCTTTGTGCTGTCATCGCACTATATCACTATATCGCACTATATCACCGGAGCAACATAAAAGTGTGCGCCAAGTTATATTTTAAAAGTTTTGACTTGAAACGATGAAGTCATTGTAAAGAGAAGCATGCCACCTTATCAGCAGGAACGCCAAGGTTTTTTTTAGCAAATTTCGTAACTTTCGGTGTAAGTGAGTGTCACAAACTCCTCCTTTTTTCCTTACCTGTGTGTATTCATGCTGTTTCATTTGAAAGCAAAAAGGAACTAAAATTTTCAAAAATTCAGAGCCAGTACATGAATGTGAGCATGGGAGCCAGTATCTGCGGGCGCACGTTCTGCGGCAGTAGATTCAAGTATAGTTTTCGCGCCCACTGGCCCTTGTGAGCATTGACGCTCATTCAGTTCCTGCTCTTCTTCGTCAGTGAACGACACGCGTCGTCCATCCCATAGCGAGGCCAAAGTGCAACTGCTGATAACAGCGGAAGCACGATCTCTACACGTTACGAGACAAAGGGGCAGAATGATTAGTGGGAAGTGCCGCGACACTTTAGAACTAGTATCGCGACACTTTAGAACGATTAACTGGTGGCGGAGAGGGTACGAGGGCCATCTGTGTCAAGGGGTGAAAAGCGTGAAAGATTTTTCGACGCGTATGCCATTGTGATAGTAAACGCAGTTTGCCCAAAAGTTAGACATATACAGCATTGTTGTAAATAAAAAAAAACAATGGGAAGTCAGGAGTTGCACTTGCCTATCGGAAAGGTCGCTCTCTCGCATATGAATGGCAGCCTCTCTGAACAGTGAGCTGTGTTCCACATGTGGCGCACCTCCTCGAGCGGTGTTCCGCGGAATTTTTCTGGGAACACTCTTTCCAGAATGAGGCATTCTGGTGCAGCCGGGAGAACCGCATTGTGGAGTTGCCATGGCCGGTCTGGTGTGAGCACCTGGTTACTCGCCTCCCACTTCCAGACGCCGTTGATTCGAATGCCATCAGTGTGCCAGCGGTCGAGTCCTCCGAGAAAAAAAAGTGTGTTATGGTTTAACGGAAGCACTTGAACTTCCCTTTTGCTACCGGACTGTATGCGCATTCAGTGCAAGTGTTTAAGAAAAGACACTGGCACGAGCCGGACTTTAATGGAAATGACGTCAACATCTTGCTAGACGGGAGACAGATATGAAACATACCCATTTCGTAGTATGGTGTCTTTCACAAGTTTTTTTTTTTAAACTTGAACTTCTGTTTAGCACTAGTGGCTTTAATCAACCACAGGACCTATCTTGTCATAACCACCAGTCCGAAACGCGGTCGCACCTTCATGCTTTGGCAGCTTACCTTTTTGAAGGGCTAGCAACAATTCTGACATGAAGTTCTTCTTGGCACTGGAACTGATGCTGACAAGTCGAGATCCCCTCGATTCACAAAAGGACCTGGCTTCCGCGTGTGTCAGACTCGGCGTCCCAATCACTAGGTGACACATACCTTGGAACGGGTGCTCTCCCGGATTGCAGGCGGACGCTGCGAGATAGACGTGCCATGGAGTGTCACTCATGCACTTCAGGGTGTAGACTCGAAAATTTGTTCCAAGCTGAGGTCGGCAAAAACTGTGGAAATCACTGAGACTCACTAATCAAATATATTGCTACGTGGTACATATCAGCGGTCAGAAGACGACAACGAGGAAGGGGTCTGTCGGTTGTGCGTGCTGTCCTTCATCTTAGTCGATGCTAAACGCATCAGTGTCAATATAGATTCTAAGTAGACACCCCTCGTGTTATTTTTTTACGTAACATTATTTTGCCCTTAGGGCTTATTCGCACTCATACTCAAGAAAATTTTTCTGGATTGGACTGACTCGAGCTCAATCTTCATCGAACTCACTCAGACAAAAATTCATGAAAATATTACCCGAACTACTTCAGACTCAGGCTCACTGCTCGATATGAGTCTAAGTGAGACTGCGTGAATCGGCTCATGAGTGATTTTTCTAACCTATGGCTCCAAGCAAACATTTCTGTTGTAGCGATGCTAGCTGATTACCTAGACACATTGTTCACTGGCCGAATGCTGAGTGATTTTGCTTGTAAGGACGCTTCATAAACGGAGGTCCTACCGGGATCGCGATTACAGGAAAGCCTGATTCTCCGCATGCTGGTGCACATAGTTCTTCTAATGGTGCAGTGTGCCATATTGGTCACCTCCTTCGGGCAGTCCACGTCAAAACCATGTCGAGCTGTCAGCCAGGGATATTTCCTTTGTACGTATTCTCCGCCTCTTGAGGAAAAAAAAGGTAAATGTAATGAAAAACGGTGGCACCTCACTGCGCTTGCTCGTGGTAAAAACTCACCTGTTGAAGCCCATTTCGGTGCACGCCATTGCTGTCAGTCGTTGGTTCCACGCGTCACCACACAGCGACTGCCACTTCCCTGCGATTTTCACCTCCAGGAAGCCCTCGTGCGGCAACCTTCCTCCTCGAAGACTTCAAAACGAAAACAAAAATTGGTGAGGAAAAAAAAAAACTGGGCTACAGTGGCTTAAACCATTCGAGAATGCTTAAGCTTCGCCTTCAACAGGACGTCACAATAGCGTAATCGGGCTTCGGGCGCATTATATTCGGAATTACTGACCTGCAATGCTGACCTGTATCGGTGCGCACCTCAATGGGGAAACACATGGCTGTGTGCGTAACACTTACTGTTACAAAGTATCATTCAATGCCTATTGCCAGCACACTTGTTAAATGCCCACTACATCATAATAATGATTTTTTTTGTTAATCAGTGAGTGACCCACTACACGTTCGTAGGGCAACACGTGAGCCTGCGCAGCTGCTTACTTTGTTGACAGTTCTGCTGGTGATGATAATTATATATGTCTGAGTGGTTTGTATTGGTGCGCTTTTCAAACCCCTGCTCGTGATTCTATGCATATCTTTTGACACATGGTGCTATTCTATACTTCTCACACACCATATGTGATGCGTTAAGAAGAGTCCCACAACTACATGTCTCTCGCGTATTTTCTTTTTCCAAAGCTGTAGCAACAAATCTCGCGCCTTTGTGGTAGAACTTCTGCTTGCCACGTACACGGGCTGAGTTTGATGCTCACCCATGTTCGGACACTTTTATTATTTATTTTTTTTGCATCTTTATCAATTTTTTATTATCGCACAGGATAATTTTTTGCTCACAACTATTGACGCCGAAGCTAGAATTTTTGCGAACGAGTTCTTTAATAATAATAATAATAATAATAATAATAATAATAATAATAATAATAATAATAATAATAATAATAATAATAATAATAATAATAATAATAATAATAATAATAATAATAATAATAATAATAAGAACACAAATTATATTATTATTATTATTATTATTATTATTATTATTATGTTTCCTCTTTCAAAACACTGATAGGGTTATGTGAGACACCGTAGAGAAGGACTTAAAAAATTTACGCCATCTGTTATTCGTCAACGTGCGCTGGCGTCGCACAGCACACACGGGCATCTAGAATTTCACGTCTACCGAAGTGTGGCATCCGTGGCCAGGATGGAACCCTCAACTTTCGGGTTAGCAGCCAAGCATCGTAACCGATGACGCGACGTCGCGGCGGACAGCGCTCTTTTGCGCTATCGAACTGAACATGTACTTCCCACAATTGCAGCCTATGAGCGTATACGATATAGTCCCCGGCTGTGACGCTTGTCACGGGGCAGTTTAATTAAATTTCGTCAATAAAGCTACTAGGACACCTAATTTGCTCGCAGCTTGGTCAAACATACTTTGTTTACAAAATAACAATCGCAGATCAATGACTTCAACTTCTTGTTTGCGTTTCTATATAGTCTTCAGGGCTAAGCTACTCGAGCATGTGCTCTCATGTAGTGCTTCATTAAACGCGGAGCTTTAACGAAGCTCCGCGTTTACAAGATGCTCCGCTCCGCTCAATTACAAGATGACCTCAGGTTCTTCAGTGTGTAGACAACCTCAACTACACAGCTTTCACCCGAATTTCACAACCATTGATATGCCCACTTTTGCCCAGAATTGAACCCATGCATGGCCTCGTGCTCATGAATTGAACGTCATAGCTGCTGAAATACCACAAAAAGTGATTGCAATGACTTTTGCGCGTTTCCCGTGTTTTTGTCGTCCATATGACCCCATATGTAGAGATGTGTCAATTAGTTAGAGAGTGGCCGTCCTTTTCTCTGCTCCTTTTTCAGCCTGAGGCGTCAAATATGCTAGACTAGAATTCTCTGTGCATGTCTCCCGGAGCGTGATTTGACGCCGGCTATTCACCTTCACTATTTTTTTACACGCAAAAACATTTGTCTGAAAGTTGCGAAGGAAATTACTTCTGAGCATTTGTATTTATTGTTTCCGCTAAAGGTAATATTATTCAGAAAAATTCTCCGGACTGCACAAACGCTGTTGCTGCGAATGCCTGCACATTGTCATTTTTTCGCATTTTATGACCAAGCAGGGGCTATAAATGTGAAAAAAAGAGAGAGGAAATTGATGAAAGCACGTGTTGTTTTGTTAGCTACAACCAAAAGTAAACAATAGGTAATGAAGCTAAGAAAGATGTAGGCCACATTACTTGTATGTTTTAACTCTAGCATAAATGAAGTAAGAGACAAGAAGAAACTAGTATAAATTAAAGAAGGGCTTGTTACCATGTTTGGCACACTGTTCAGCAGATAATAAAGACAAAATGTAGGGCATGCTCATTGAGCTGTTCTTAGCATAGACTGGTAATTAGAATATAGATTTGAAGAAAAGTGCACGAAAGGACAACTTGCAGCCGGCAGGCACCGAATCTGCAACCTTCGGATCACTCGCGCGATACTCCTACCAAGTCAGGAATACTCTTTTTTTTTGGGGGGGGGGGGGGGGGGGGCAGCAGCGCGTGTCCTCTTAAAGAGCGGACAGCTGACGTGGCATGCTAGGCGAAGGTACCGAGTCTGCTGGATCGAGACCATCGCCTTGTATGAATGAAGAAATATCATTGTGAGGCCTCGTCTCTATGCTCGACACAATGTTAATGCTCATTTTCATTAATGCCCCCTCGAAATTTTCTCCTTCTTGCCGGCTTCGTGCATTAGGTGGTGTAGAAAGAATATTGGTCAACTTTGAGCTCATAATTGGAGCATGTGCTAGGTGACGCCAGCTGGTAACAAGGGTTTAGCACACTCGCCGCCACGGTGGGCAGGGCTGGCTAACACTCCAAGGATTGCATACCCAATAATGTGGACGGGAAATCGATCACCATTTTAATTTAATTGGTAGAGTACCAGGCGAGTAATTTGAAAGTTGTACGTTTGGTTCCTCTAGCTGTGGCAGTTGAGTTTATTTCCTATTCATTTTTGTTATAATTACTATACTACAGTTAAAACATACAAGTGGTGTCCCCTATACCTTCCTTCACTTCAATGCCTGTTTTATTAGGCTGTGTTAGAGCACTGCACGGGTCGATTTTTCCGGCCCGAGCCTGACCCGGCCCGAAAAATTCATGCTCTGGCCCGCTCGAGCCCAGTCTTCTGTTTTTAAATACGGCCTGTACCCGGCCCGGGCCCGAAAGGTGTGGACCCGGCTTGACCTGGCCCGGCCCGTTACAGCGTTTCATGCCTGGAGCACAAACGAGACACCATCCGGCATTCGGTACCTGGGACGATACTTGTTGAAAAACAAGATGTTTTTTAAACTGTCTTGAGAACGTTTTTGAAGGCCATAAATTTAACTGGTATATTCTGTGTACTTTCAGGTAATGGCACCCGTAACACTTCCAGGAAATAATTGACAGTAAATAAAATGTAATTGGTCTTTATTATTTACGCAGATCTTACTACAAAATGTTTTTTTATTTCATAGAATGGCTACAAAATATACTACACTCATAATTTGGGGAAAAATGGCAGGCATTTGTAGTTTGAATCTACATAAATTGCTTGCAAGCCGGCGTCATCGAGCAAATGTGACAAGACTTTTGCAAGCGTCATATACTACGTCATGCAATTAAAATATGCTTTAGATAATTCTGACTGGACTACCATGGGGCGGAAACTCCATATACCTTGCATGTACCCGCTCCCTGCGGCGGAAGAACCACTTTTACCACTGGCGGTTGCAGGGCATCCTAATAGAAATAAATCGTGAACAAAAAAAAACTTTCGTAACATCACTGGTGAGGTCCCCAAAAGAGAGAAAGGAAGAAAGATTGTTAGGAGGAGGGTTGCCGCGGAAGCCCTACTTTTCCCTCTTAGCAGGCATGCGCAATGCGCTCGTGCCTTTTTTTCAGGTCCACTGGCCGCTTGGCCAATGTTACTATAAAATTTCGGTAATTAAAAAAAAATCTTTTCCTGTTTTCTGAAGAAGCGAAAGTTAAGCTGACTGATTTCTCAGTAAGACAAAACACGTTCGGCACAAATAAAACGGACTTTTTATTTGCATGTTTTTATATAAAAAACGACAGACTTAGTGTGAAAGTATCGATCTATAAAAGCAGCTTTATTTTCACAACTGCCATAATGTTTCCAGCTTTGATGTGTCTTACACATCCGTTAATGTCCAAAAGACGGCCGAAATTAGAGAGAGAACTTTGAAGGGATGCGAAATTTCTGAACTTCAGGTGCCGCAGGAACCGTCGCACATTTATCCGGTAAATGATGCCAATGCACCAGTGCCTATACACCCCGCCCCTCTGTTTCAAGGTGTACAGCAGCAAATCAAAATCATAATCATGAGTTTTCCTACATAGAGCTTTTTACGTACTTCCCCCGTGGGAGTGCTTGCACGTGTTTGAGCGCCATAAAAACACTTGCGTTTCAACATATGAGGACGCTTATGAATTACTGTCTAAATACGAAAAACACAGTGTTCGTAAAAATAAACAAAACTTGTTCATATTATGGACATTCCAGTTAAATTTTTAACATATTTGGATGATTACCAAGTGCTAAATATTTGCAACGGCCTTGCTATCACAAAATTAGCATGTTTTCATCGATTAACGCTCCGGTCATAAAAGTCACTTCACGTCTCGCAGTCAAAGTGCACCAACAACAACTCATTAGTTATTCATGACACAAGTCACGTTGAAGAGTCCACAAAAAACGCAGGCGTAGAAAGGCTTGGTGAGCATGTGAATCCATCTGAATGCTCGAAATTTTTTCCTAGTTGCAGCACGAACATATTTACAGTATTATAACACTAGCAGTGTACCGATGGTGTTGCAACAGTACCACCTGGCAAATCTTTCTTTAGGGTATGCAAATAGTAGTGAAAACATATATTACGCATTTCTTCAAAAAAAAAACTTGTGGCATAACGACGGAGCCAAATTCCAGACACCATGTATTTTCCGATTTCAGTGTATGCCAATGCACTCCATCTGGTATAAATTAGCCGAAGCCCTCAACGGCATCTTACGTAACCTGGGCCACTTCAGGATGATAAACCCCACAAAACAACAAAGCCGAACAGCGCAAACATGCCATTATACTGATATACTAGGTTTTTCAAGAAATGGGTACGATATTATTTGAAAATTACAAAAAAGAGTCATCTGCGTTCGACATGCGCTATTCCCTTTACTTTGGGAGAATGCATCTCCAGATGTGTTAAAACAATGATTACGGCAGTAACTACAGTAACTAAAATAATTAACTTTTAACCAGTCGAGATAGCTGGTCGAGTGAAATGGATGAATTAAAGTTCTTCCTGCAAATAGTCTATAGCTATCTCGAAATTTCGTTAAGGCGGCAAGTGGTATTCACCACTTAGTGATGAAATGTGGCTAATGTAGCTGGCGAAACCGAAGCCGACGCACCAGACAGCGCATATGCCATTCACTTCGAAAACACCCTGAATGAAAAGTTAACTGCTTTAAATTTTTGGAACAATGAATTGTTTAAATTTATCTAATTACTGTCATAAATATTGTTTGTACACATCCGAAGATGCCTTCTGCCAAAGTAAAAGGAACACGGACGGTAGAAGGCAGATTCCTCTTTTTTGTAGTTGTTCAATAATATTGGACTCATTTCTTGAAATACCCTGTATAAGACCCGGGCCTAATACAGGCCTGACTAAGGCCCGGGCCCTACCCGAGCCCGAAGGTCATAGGCCCGAGGCTGGTCTGGGCCCGATCTAACAGTACCTTACCCGTCCCGACGCGGCCCTGGCTTTTGGGCCTGCCCGGGCCCATGTAGTGCTCTAGGCTGTGTACGTGGCGATATACACGAATGAAAACACGTCTCTGACGGTGTCAAGGAATGTGAATACGCCTTCTCCCCCCGAAGTAATCGTATGTTCTGCTTTTCCGTAGCTAACTGAGCAGTTTTTTAGAGCGTTAGCTTATTAACAATACCAGAGGTGCTTAATTCAATCAACTATACTCACCGTATGGTATGATTCGAAGTGGGCAAGCTCGTGCTTGGTAGAGGTGTGTTACCTCGCCGAGCTGTAAGAGCAAGAAGAAAAATCAGAATATTAGTCTGGATGTCATGCCGTCGAGCTGTTCTAACCCCATCATCAGGACCATTGCTCCTATGCTTGTACAGCAATTTCGTGTCAGGTAGATCACATTAAAATTATGCTATAGAGATTTCACTATTGAGAACAAGAAACTCCCCAACAAATGTATGACGTGCATAATCGAACCGAGGCCAATACTCATTTACATAGTGTCATACATAGTTTCTGCATAGTATCTACAGTGTCACGCATTAATTTTATATATTGCGGAGCTAACCGCTCACCCAACGGAACACACACGAATAAGTTCGAACCAGTGATGTTACGATAAAGCCGACGTCGCGGGTAGGATTATTATTGTATCATAATGACAAGCTGCATTGTGCACTGGCCTCGCACAATTTCACTATTAATCGGTTGGTCGCTGTTACATCCTCGCATTTGCCTCGTGCAACCCAACGCTTACTTTTCAACACTTTTTAGGACCCGTGAGTTTTTACAGTAAGCGTATTTAGCACGTGCGTAACAGTAGGCGTATTCAGCATGTCTCTAAAAAAATGAAAGCGAGAAACAAAATGCAACTTTGCCCTATAGTGGTGTCAAGCCTGCAAGAAATGCGGACCTGAGAAGCCTTCTGTCTTTTTCACCTGTTTTCTGTTTTTTTCTTCCTCTTTTTGTCATCTTTTGCTTTCTTTTTCTCTTTTTCCTTCTTTCTATGTCTTTCTCGCTTTATTTCTTGTTATTCATTTTATTGCGTGGTTCACGTTTTTATGTTTCGTTTAACATAGTAGTAATGTCCATACATTACATCACAGTGAAGATGCTCGAAAAGCAAGAGCAAGAAGACATCTCCTTGCCGCGAGTGCGCTGTCAATGTGCTACACTTGATTATGCTATCTGTATATAGTGCTCGAATACCAATACCAAGTCGCTCGAAGAACAAGACAAAGAAGACTTCCCTGTGCCGCGTGCACGCTCAATGTGTTTTGGCTGACTACAATATATCTTCTTTTATCTGCGCTACGCTAAGCGACGACTACAGCGTACGATAGCATACGACAGCTTGGACCTCTAAATCACTCCGCACTCATAGATGCTCAAATATTCAGTGCATTAAATTCACGCAGTGCTCAGATGTAGTGCACAAAGTGCATCACCTTTTGCGGCAAGACTACCAGTGGGACTCATTGGTGGGCGAGAAATCGTCTGCAGCGACTTGGCCTCCTCAGCATGCCTGTGGTCAAACCACTGGGTAAACCACGAAGGCCGACCAGCCGCAAGCGGGCTGTGATGCGGTGGAAAGACCGCAGGTGGATGGTGGGGATGTCGGCTCCGAGTGACATCTGTTCATTGTGAGTCAATGAGGCGTTGGTGCATTCAATATATATATATATATATATATATATATATATATATAGTGCAATAAAAACAGGAAATCATTGTGACAGTGACATGTACGAAGTAAAAGACCAGTTTTACCATTTATGCACAATGAAAGGCTGCAATGACAAAGCCAAATTGCGACAAGGAAAAGAGGGACAACTTGCGGCTGCGTTACGTGTCGCTAATTCATCCGAGAGCACGCGCAAAGCGTTTGGTCACATTGGGTAGGTTTTTTTAGAAAAATGATGAATCGTGCTGATTGACATTGAATAAACATTACCATAGGGAACAAACGAATAAACAAACAACCACAAAAAATCTGCGACGACGAAGAATAATCCAAGTAAAAAATAACATTTTATAAAGAAATAAACTATGAATGAGCACAAGAACTCTTGCGTCAAAAAGCCGACATATTTGGAAAGTTAGTAGGGACACTATGTCTGAAGCAGTTGGGGTATGTGCATGAACCGAATGTTTAGAGCCTCACCAGACAATGACCATGGAATCTTAGAGGCAATCAGGACTTGTGTTAATGTTGCAGCACAAAACCATGATAACATTGCAAGCGCGAAGAAAAAAGACCTTGACATTTCAGTAAAGCATTCCTACAGAATAATAAAAAACTTCATTTGTTTTTCTCTCTATTCTTCGTCTTCGTTTTCGCACATTGGTTTTTCACTGCTTCCTAAATAAATCGCTGTCATCTAAGGGAATAACCAGCCAGCGCATACGGGAAAGAACGACCACGTTAACAGAGAGCTGCAGACATCGAAACTTTTTTTAGAATAGACGCCTGGGACGTTCTCACTCCCCAAAGAAATAGCGTCGACACTATTGCACAAAGATGAAGAACGAAGAGCGCAGGGGCAGTGCGTCGCACCCGTTAGTACTCAGATTTATTAGAAAAGCAAAAATTTAGCTGAAGGGCTTTGCTGCGACCAACATTGTGGTACCCATTGAAACAATAGCGTAGCAAGATGGTCTAACTGACAACATTATTAACAATTGATTACTTTTTAATTCACCACGTTCTCTCACCTCGCGAATAGTACATAAATCTTGCGATAGATAGCCACTACTCAAGATGCGTAGTCGAACGTAGGCTGATAGGCGTAGCGTGACGGGGGTTGGTGAAGTATCACCTTGTGGAGGGATGATGAGAATATTGTCAGACGAACAACTTCTGGAGATTACGAGCGAGTTTAGTAAAACTATTTCTTGTCATCTCGTTTTCTCAAAATACGTGCTCTGCAGACACTTCATGTGTCACGCTTTGATTATTATTCAACGTATTTAGCACTTTATATTGTCGTTACGCTGTCAGCACAAGAGGCAAACAGTAAGTGCGAAAACCCTCATCTAAAACTTACACCTACTGACTCACTACAAGCTAGCTCACGAAAAGTTCCTTGGTGCTCCAATAATTTGGCGCCTCTGTTCTGAATAACTGTGACATGCATATCAAGTTTGAGGGCACGAATGACAAGTACAAAGAGATCTGGACCAAGAGATAACGTAAGTAGGGTGTGATTCACACAGGCGTTTTCATGCACTGTTTATAAACGTTCCCACTATCAATTAAATACATTTGGCTATAACTATTAGGTGAACCTTCTGTCAATATTGAAACGAGATACAGTGTCGCAAATTAACAACACTCGTTTGTCTCTGTGCGTACATTTGTCGTTTTTTTTTCGCTGTTATTTTATAGAATAATAAAAAACCGACTAGCTCAATTCAGCTCCATTGTGAGATTAACCATCAATATGTTATCAAACGGTCTTCACGTGCTCCCGAAAAGGAATCAGAAAAGCTTTTTTGTTCTCGGTGAAGCCACTTCCACAGTTCTTTGCCACTTAGGACCATTTTGTACCGGAACTGGTATAGCGCATTACGGGGAAGAAGAAACAGCCGAGCAGACCGACACAAGAGGACAGAGCGCTAACGTTAGCGCTCTGTCCTCTTGTGTCGGTCTGCTCGGCCGCTTTTTCTTCCCCGTAATGCGCTATACCAGTTCAAGTACGACGAACCAACTTGCCCAATCTTCAACACATTTTGTACCTACCGCTTTGGCTTGGACGGCCGAAAAAAGGAGCTAAATTTGTTGTCCATCCGTCGCAATTCTGAAACCAAGAGAGACGCGCGCAGAAATAATTACCTGCAGAAAATAACAGACTCGTGAATATGTCGCATGTGGTATGGGGTAGTGATAATTGGTAGCAATCGTTATTTAAAAAGAATGGTGAGTGTCCACTTCAAAGAAAGAGAGAATAATGTTGAATGCAAAACGTTTCGAGAATTGAACAGATGTGAATACATACTACACCAAGTTTTTTAAGCACACGCTAAGTACAGAGGAAAGTCTCTCGTTAAAAGCACTTGCAACGTCGAAGTCTTGCTTTTGTGAAGAACCAGACACATTTATTATTAAAATCTCACCAGAGCTTCGAGAACTCATAGCTTTTGTCTCGTTTCAACGTTGAAAAATAAAGAATTTGACAGAGGCCACTTTTGCGATGAGAAGAATAAGATGAGCGGGCAATAGTGGATATTTACTACACTGAAAGGGCCAGCTGTTTTGGTGTCGTAATGAGTTTAGGTATTTGACCGTCTTGAGTCGCACTGTTACTCGCTGCAAAATTAAATAAAGAAACATTCTGAGTGCTACTTAAGTCATAGAACTCTGACTTACGTATTTTGTGACTCTTTACTAGTGACGAACCTATTGTAGTGTCCTGCTTTGAATAATTAATAAAATAAATGAATTCCTAATGAATAACGTCACTATCATCAAACGCCTTCATGAATTATAACGAGAAAACAACATAATTTTGTTGTCAACTTGAGTAAATATGCTGTGATTAACACACTTCATAAGCAATAAATTTTTTGTCGAAGGAACGGCAAAAGAATGATTTCCGGAACCTTTTGTTAGCAAATTGGTAAGGGTTATTTACCGCTGGCAAACTACGCATCATTTCTATACTATCTAACACGATTCTTGAATATTATGAACTAAAAGCTTCACTGCACTCTTGCGCTATTTCATATTGGACAAATACAGCGTTATTATGAAGGATATCGGGAAGTGTATAAATAAAGGGCGCGCAGTCAGCTTGCTACGACGACCTTGTTTCACCTAAGCGCTCATTTTGCGAAGAAAGAAAGTACTTTCTCTATAAATGTCTGAAAAGCATTTTGTAAAAAGAGATGCCACTCACTCCTTATTCTTGACATACTGTTATATCTATTACTATTAGACATTTATCGAACTTTGCAATCAACGGGCGCCATCAGTCACATATTTTACTTTATAACTCCATATGTTCAAACTTCTGATTGTTCATCAGTTTATAAATCTAAGCAATTTTTTTTATCTTTTGCGGTAGTGACCTTGATTTGCTGTGATTTTTTCATTAAGCCTTTCATTTTTGGTGAAAACTTGGTCACTTATCTTGGGGGCAGACGTACGTACTACGTCAAAGAAAGAGAGGCGGGGGCATCACAGCAAAAGACACTGCGCGTGGGAAGGACCTAAATGAACGCTCTAAAAGAGAAGCGCCGCAGTGTTATGAGCAATTTCGATGAAATATTGAATGTTGCAGACGGCTTCTGTCCCGCACTGTACAGTTCGACGATAAGTCATCCAACTTCAAGTGAAATAAAAGTTGAACAGGACACCGAAGAAACTGAAGTTCCATGTGTTAATATCAATCAAGGTAGAACGACTATGGGAAATACTTCCCGTGGGAAAGCGGCCAGATATGGCAGAATAACACGCGATTTGATGAATGAAGGAGACCATATTCAAGAATATTGCGACACTGTGCACAGAATGTGTAAATCGCCCCGCCGCGGTGGTCTAGTGGCTAAGGTACTCGGCTGCTGACCCGCAGGGCGCGGGATCAAATGCCGGCTGCGGCGGCTGCATTTCCGATGGAGGCGGAAATGTTGTAGGCCCAAGTGCTCAGATTTGGGTGCACGTTAAAGAGCCCCAGGTGGTCGAAATTTCCGGAGCCCTCCACTACGGTGACTCTCATAATCATATGGGGGTTTTGGAACCTCACACATCAATCATCAATCAGAATCGGTAAATGCCGCAGATGTTAACTTGTGCGGGAAAACCGCCAATAGATTATTAATACATCAGAAAAAAATTTGAAATACACGAATAATTATACATCAAGTAGCTTACTCTCAGTATTGCACAAAATTATTCAGTTTTGCATAGAATATACTTAGATTTGCACGCCCATATACGTAGACGGTAAAGAACACTAAGGGATGAAATTAATCGGGAATCCCTCAGTACACCACACCGTAATTATATGGAGGTTTGGGCATGTAAAACCCCGTAATTAGATTACCGACAAAGCGATGCAAACAATAAGCTTTAAAGCATCCAACAATTCATTCTAGGAAATACTGAGCCTATGCTTGACCATCCGTATGTATTCGGTTGCGCACTGCGCATGCTAAATCATGGCGATATTTATGACTTACGTTTTTGCCCAGCAGAATCATCACAAGTGTAATCCATTTCGTCAAAAACATAACAGCAGGGGATACAAACGCACGTCCTCGATTTAAAGAAGTGTGGTCGTACCTGCCACCTTCAATGGGCTGTTTCCTTATAAGCCGCGCTTTACGCAAAGATAGCTTTAGGCGCTTTCTGCAACCTAGGCGTATGTTTATCGCTTCTCACTCGCGGTCTTTGCTTCGCCGAGGCAAAATGATACGCCGAGCGTGCGGGTAGCACGTTTCCGTCTGACTCAAACAAAATACGAATATGACGAAAGCGCGCCTCTGAAGCCTGGCCTGTTTGCCGAGTCAGAACTTAATCGCTCGGGTTGGATTACAAGTCTCATCAGTCTGTTGATGCAAATGGTATCTCAGCATAGTTATTTGGCATACAACGTCATTCCGAAGGCGACCCGATAACGATAACAAGTGTTTTTTTTTTACTGCACCGCATTGGTATGCGGCGGAGTGGAAGTGAGGGTGGCGTGTGGATGGTCGCTGCAACAGCTTGCGACACGGGCTGGAACATTACCAGTGAATGTGCTGCGCAACCGGAATGTTGCGAGAAAAGTACATTATTAAAAATACGATCAGTGTTTTTAAACTTGCAACGTTGAACAAGGTTTATCATCGATATAGATTGTTGAGTAGGGAGAACATTGCTGATTTGCAAAAAAAGATGTTTCAGAGAAATGGGCTGGTAAGGAAAGAAACCTTAAGAAATGCAGATATTGTGCAGTTGAGGCTTGGCATAGGGGATACGTTTTCAGGCTTTCGCATGTCAAAATCGCGATATAGCTATTCGATGTACACTTTAGCAGAATTCTTAGAGTTAAATTTGACCACCAAGAATTCTCAAACGTACTCCTAAAATAGGTACATCAGTGTCCTTACATTACATTTCATCGCCAACAAAATGCGGCACTGCGAATCAAACCCACGTCCTTGACCTAAGCGCTTTGACACCTTATCTGCTGAGCTACCACCACGGGTGATAACGCTACTTCATCCGTCAACATACCGAGAGACTGCCGAACGATTACGTTCGAATTGGAGCCTTTCATCCGTGTAACAATAAAGGTGACACTGAGAAGCCTGGGTGCAGCAGTCAATTGCACTTCTGCAAAAGCAAAACAGCGAGTCCTAACGTAAGATAACTATGTGTAGGTAGGAAAAGCCGCATATATAAAAGTCCAAAGCTGAACACGTCCCTAACCTCTATGAGATGTTTGACACGGTGGTATCACTTTTGACAGCGACAATTTGGGTTCAAGTATGTTTTTCGCTAAACAATGAATGCATAACATTAGAAAAAAAAGCAACTAAAGGAACAACCTAGACATAGTTTACAATAAAGCACCAATTAACACCTATGACTGAAAAAAAATAAATTGTCATCTGTCGCATCGGTGACTTTTTTTACTCCCAACCTTTGCAGAGAATAAAAAAATAGAAGCTTGAGTATCATTGTTTTCGGTAATCGTCAAGTTTCATGAAACGTGCTGAAAAAAAATGAGTTAACAGGGGTTGTACTGATCCGACGTTTCGACAAGCGGAGTTGTCTTCCTCAAGGCTAGAACAGAACTGATTTCTTTAGTGCTAGTGTGTCTATGCTTCGTACCCTCTCCTTCATTCAAACAAAGGAGGGGGAGGGGCAACGTTGAATACGCTGGTGTGAGAGAGCGGTGGAGGGGGGTTACAGTGACGAATTGTATAGAGTGAAGAAGGAACAGGTATTCCGTGAATAAAAAAGACAATAAGAAAGCGGTTGGGAGGGGAGGATGTACACATTTCGCTGAGTCTCGATTCTCGAACCGGTTATTAGAAGTTAACGATGGCAGGTTTCAAATTCTTTTTGTGATAACGTTGCAACAGCCTTCTATGTCGAAAAAGTGCGACAAAAGCTCTTTTAGGCGTCCCAATGCTATGCGAATCATCGCTGTGATACTCCTATGCACTTGTTGAATTGGAAAAAGTTATGTAATTGATTAAATCGTTTGTAGGTATATTGTGGCAGCAGAAAGCACAAGACAGGGTTGATTGCCTGATCATGGGATAGGCATTCTCTCTGCAGTGGCTGTAGTCATAATGATAATGATGATGCTGATGATGCTGCTGCTGCTGCTGATGATGATGGTGGTGGTGATGATGATCTACGTGGTTTACATTCCCTGGATACTCGAAAGTCCCGAGTTTGGCTTTTTCCACGCTCAAAATGTTGATGTCCATATGCTAAACATGTATATATGGTCGAAAGTTTCACTCCACACACGTTCAGAAGGTCTAGTGTTTGATACTTTGCAAGAAGGAGGCCCTGCGAGTAGAAAACCATAGCGCCAAGTGCAGTAAATTTCCGCGTTTTTGTAAGATTCTGACCATATATCTGAATTCTGCAAGAAGTCAGGCATAAAAAAGTACAGAACGTTAGTTTCATGACACACGTGAACTTGTACTCTAATTATTAGCTCAGCGTGTTGATTTAATGAATAGATATATACTAAGAGCAGTTTCATAAATATAGGGTTTAAGATTTGAGGATATAAAGAGCTAGGCTTTGGGGGAATGCATCCTTATTTTTAATTTCGTGTCTCGTGAGCTTGCGTGTCCAAGCGAATGAATCATTCCTTGTATTAGCGCCATAATTGAAGCATCATGCCAGGCCGGAGTGTACATCCGGAGCGTACGTCGCGAACATAATCGTAAGAATATTATTTTAAACACTGCAACTTTTTAAAGCTCGAGCTTCGTTCATTGGCGAAAACTCCATCGAGCAATGACGTCGCCATGCCTTACCTGAGAGAGAGAAAGAGGAGAATAGAAGAGGAGAGGAGGTGCAAGCCGAGTAAAACAACGTAGTTATTCCTCTCAAGAGGGATTCTAACCGGTGTACTTCAGGATATAAAGCAGGCGTCGTAACCACTCGGCTCTCTAGACACACAAGGAGAAAAAGGCTTGTATGGAAACCATATGATTGCCTTGCTGAGAGCACGGGACCAAGAAAAGCACACAGAAAAAGGAATAGAGATAGAGAAATTGACAGAAATAGACACAAAAGAAGAAAAGGAGAGAATGAGATAGAAAGCAATAGATAGATAAATAAATAGAAAGAGCGCCTCAACATGGCTTTCCTATGCTTAAGTCTGCTTTCCTATGGTTAACTGCCCCTCGTCATGTTCATGTGGCTATATCTTGGCTTAATTGGCACTTTCTAGGCTAGGCTTCACTGGCATGCTCAGGAGGTCTGCCAAGCTCTACTGTTCTCGAAGCTTGGCCCCACTTGTGCGAAACTGCCCCAATATATTTTTGTTTCTTTTACGATCTTTGTTACTCATGTGCTGTTATACTAAAGTGTCACGTTATGCTACGATAAATAATACCGGCGCGATAACTGTGTAAAGCTGTTGTCATGCCTTTGTAATATACATGTATGTTTAATTCACCACTGTGCTTTTTCATGTTGGCTTGTGGCTCCGTTGCTCGCAAAGTCCTGCGAGTATAGCTACTTTCTAAAAAATGCAGGCACAAAAGGTACAAGTTGTCGGTCTAAACATTTTCTCTCAACAATTGTAACAATCGAAAGGCAAATGTATTTTCGTATGGCAACATTTATGTTGACGTAGGTTTTCACGTAATTCACTATATTCACAAGCCTATTACAACAAATACAATAATACCAGTGGGAAGAATGAAACACAGCTATTTCAAAAGAATGTGCAAGTGCACTTGCGCCGCGTTTGCAGATTGAACGCTGTATATTTATAGAGCAAATCCTAAATGCCTGCGCAGCCGGCAGACAATTGTGTTCTGTTGTCACATTTTTTACAATTTTGATTATTTCACGCAAATGCGTCTCCAAACGGAGAGGCACTCTCTATTGTTTCTCGTCGTTACGCTCTTCGTCGTTGTTGGATCACCCTGTATCAGCTTAAAACGCTGCGATGCTAAACTCAAGTTTGGAAAAAAGAGAAGATGCGGTAAAAAGTATGCGGAATGATGTGAATACAAACAGAGGATGAGCATGCTGTATACGTGATATTTTGAGAACACAAAAAAATGCGAGAGTTAACTTCTTTAACACACATAAAATTTGTTTGGTGGAACCATGGTAGCATGCATAGCTATGAAGTCTTAAACATTCTAGATCTTGTTTACTGACTTCAATACTGCCACCTTCCTTTTGATGCACTGTTCAAGCTTTGAATGCGCAGATATGAGCTTTTATCATTGCTCTCAGCCAGTAACATAGCCGGGGTTTAGGGCGTTAAACACCCCTTCACCTGACTTTATATTCTGCATCTGTATATGCCGGGTGCTTCTCGTTACAAAAACCAGGAATTAAAAAAATTACTGTGGTTAACTCCAACTCATTGAAATAAATAACACAATTTGTTGTTTCGCAGTGCTTGTTAGAATATGAAGCGTTTCATCAAACGTAAGATCAATCACACAATCTCTTTGGCATTCACTTTTGACCCCAGTGGGGTTCGTTAGGTTCTAGAAATCATCTCAATACAAGTGTTTCAATTGTGTGTCAACGTATACATACAGTGTGGTGATTTATTTGAGCGTGTAAAAATGCCTTCGAAATGTGAAACAAAATCATGAGATTGAACTGGTGCGCGACTATATTGCAGCGCTTTCAGAAATGGTTCGAGCGAAAAGTCGTACTTGCGCACCGTCATCCTGCCACGGTGCTTTTTGAGCCTGTGCCACCATAAAAAAATGCTGATGCATTGGGAAAACAATGTCTGGAGCCATGTTCACTAATTTTGGCACGGTTCGTGCAAGGTTCAGCATGGGGCGTGAAAGCATTTCCCGCGATGTGACACCTGGTGCAGTTCAACACACATTGTCACTCGGTCACTCAGTATTAGACCTACATCTGTCTGAGGGACAACTCCACCAAAGTATCACCTGTACGAATTCTTAATTCGAAAAAAGTTTCAAGTGCTTGCGTCTGTCTGTATAGATGCAAGAATAATGGAGGGGCTCTGCGATGCAATAGTGGACTGGCACCGAGAGTACATTGACTAGAATTTTGCTCGAATTCTAATTTTTAGTGCGAAGCGTTTCCAAGCGAATCAAATGCGGTTTAATAGTATCTATCTATCTATCTATCTATCTATCTA